TCGTAATATGCGTGACAAGCGGCTAAGCACCGTCTAGCATCGGTGCTTGACTGCATATTATTAATAGACCTCACCGATATACGCGACGCCCGGCATCGTTACGTCCGTCGTTTGTTCCGCGACCGGTACAGGCCATTAGAGCGGACTCCATTTGCTTCGGTTCGTACGAAACCTCCGCAGTTTGCGCGCCAATTATGAATCATCAATGATGCTTCGCATGGTGTTCGAAAGAAATCATTGTCCACTTTGTCATACGTTTCCGTGAAACGTATCAAACGTCCGTAGGGAGAAGATAAAAAATGGTAATGGTAGCGCAGAATGTTAATGGTTGACCTTAGTCGAAGGAAACAATTTTATCTGAAGGAGTAATGATAACTAGTAAATACATGTGTAATCTCAGGAAACGGCCAAAAATAGCCATTTAAAGCGTGTCAGGTAATAGAAGGCACGATAAAGTGTTATGAAAGATAACACGTTAACTTATGTTTATTCATACGTTTCTGCACGAGGAAGAATGTAAATTTATATATCAGCTTTTATTGTTGAAATTTAAGCCGCGTTTCATAATTAACAAGGTAATAAGGAAAATTTCATAGAATGTTAATACGCGTTGTCGGAACAAATGAGGATTATTTTCGATTAGTATGTATTTCATAGAAAGCAGTGATTTCAATGCGTCGGAACAGAAGATGAGAGTTTGTAAATAGTTCATTTCTATCCTAGCGTTAAAGGATAGCGGTACTGAAATTCTAATTAACGTTAATAAATGAACGAATCGAGGAATTCAGATAAACGTGAAATATGATTGAACTGTCGTGTGCAGTGGATTCACGGTAATTTGCCATTACATATGGCGGCAGCCGGGAAAAAAAGCGGGAAGGATGCAAGCTGTGTCCAAGGATTAATCGAGAAACACGGACACCTTGATGTCTGGCAATTCGTATTGCCAACTCTCCTGATATCTCTGTTTATCCTGATTAAAATTTCAGCAAAATAAATAAACAGTCGTGCTAAACAACTTTACTTAACTCCACGATTCTACGTACGTTTTCCCCTAGATTTAGCGTATTTTATTGGTGACACTGAAAATTTTACTGGTACAAGGCTGATTATTCGGTCCTTTAAACTTGAATACTAGTAATATGAAATGGAAACATAATTATCAGCGTTTGATTGGTAAAATAAATGATCATTGTAATATGTTTCTCTCTTTTTTTTCGTTTTACAAGATAAAAGTTAAGAAAAGATAAGAGTTTTCCGAGAAAATCGATGCACTATGTTCGCTGATACCACTTATCGAATGGATAACTAATAACTGACAAATGTTTACGGAAACTTTGCTCGAAAGAGACGCTTACTTTTTCCATGAATCATTGTTCCCCGCTAGCACTTATGAAAACGCCTATTTTTCGTCCCCTGAGAGAAATATTCCACCGGTTATTTCAACGCTCAATTAACAGCGAAATTGTCTAAGATTCCATAAAATCCATGAAAGCATCGTACGAGAGCTAATTGCAAGATTGAGGTGGCTGGTGAACGAGAAACCGGCTTCCCTTTTCAGGAATTTTTCGATAAAGTTTGCCGGCTAATCGATTAGCCTGGTTGAATCGGAACTCCTTTGAGATCGAACAGTATCGAAATGAAAGAGAAAAGAGAAAAAAAAAATGAATCGACCGCGTGAAATTTTACGGAACCCTCGTGAATCTTCAGCGGCACGCGGTTCCAAAAGAAACGAAGATAAGAAGGGTACCGGTGAACGCAAGTGATAGGCTTCGCAAGATCCTCACATTTTTTGCTTCTCCTGCACCCTCCACATGTGTTTGCGATCTTGAAACGTGGGTGGATTTTGTGAATCGATCCTTCAAGGTCGAATTTTTTCACACCTCAAACCTTGTCATTCCAGTTGAAGCATCAAATGGGGAAGGATGATGAGTTAGTTAGGAACGTCGCGAAGGAGTATCGGAGTATGCTGGTGTAAAGCATTTTAATTATGAAAAAATTGTGTTTCTAATGCTGAACCATGGGTAGACAATGAAAATTTAAAGAATTAACGATGGAAGGTTGAACTTTGGACACCTGAAACCGTGTTGTTGAATTTGAAATACCAAAATCGAGGAAGATTAATGGGTTAATTAACAAAATTGTGGAAAAGTGTTAGATCGGATCCGTTTCAAAAGTGCGAGGCATGATCGAAGCAACAGGATAGATTTATTAAACAATAAAATTACTGTCAGACAGTTGTTCTTTTTTCGTGGCCAGTAAAAGCGTTAAAAATTCTTCGAACTTTCGAAACTCTACCACCGTTTGTTTACAGACTCCATTTGTTTATCGAGCCGGCATTTATTAGAGCGCACTCGGATGCCAGGCAAAAAAGAAACAGCTATCGAGAAAAGAATTGCTGCAATTACGCTTCATAAAGAAGAGAAACTTCGGGAAAACTTGAGCAGGTGTAAAACGAGTCGAACCGACTGGAATGGGCTTTGGAATTCAGAAAATTGTGAAAATTGAAGCACGTATAACTACTGTAATTATCATGAATATTAATTTTAATAATTTTTTTGAACTTTCAAATCAACATCTTGTGTAGCATTCTAAAAATACGATTAAAGGAACAAATCTTTCAATAAAATAAATTGACCCGTACCCACTTTATTGCATAAATCAAATAAAACTATTTTGGATTTTTAATGTCCATCAAAGTATTCGGCAGCTAATAATAATTAATCATACAGATATAAAAATACCAACATCAATATAAAAAGTCGTGAATATATTATGAGGATCGCGAATATTTTTAAGTAGAATATCAATTAAACGAGGATGGATATTTTCAAAGAAGATAAAGTTTAAAATTTATAAAAGTGATGGCTTTATATCAACCTCATTTTGAAACAGTTTTAATTAGACGCAATTTAGATGACTGATTTTGCAACTTGTTTCTTAATCGAATTTAATTTATTCATCCTATTTGCCACATTTGCGAATTTTATTTATAGTAAATTATGATCTTGGAAAATTTAACAAATCACAGTAAAAACGATGACAGCTGATTTACACTATAAAATATAACTACATTAGCAATTTTTTTATTTTAACTGGTCGCTACTTTAATCAGTCACATTAATGCAATAGAAATAACGTAAGAATTAATTTTTCAACTAAACTGTTCACGAGTACTAATTACACCAAATTAATTACTCCACAAACATTTTCCAAATTATCTCTTTTACATGGAGATATAAAACTAGATAGAAAACCATCCCATGATCGATGACCGACGCTACGATAACCACCATGAATTCTCATCATTTTAACAACATTAAAAGTGTTGAATTATCTATTTTCTATTAACGATATAACAGCAATGCTATTACTTTTCCTTTCAATCATTCAATGATGTTAAAATTGCAGACACTGCTTAACTATTTTTCTTCGATATTGAATGATCTCTGCATTATTCCTTAAAAAAAGTACCTGTCATATATCTATCATATAATCATTATTCCGCTCCTTACAATAAGTATATAAAGTTTCCTTTTGAATAATTACAGTGTCATTCAACTCGACGTAAAAGATATTTCCACATTATGTCCCAAATGACCGAGCATCCCTTGTTTAGGGATTAACACCTAATCAGTATATTATGGTTTTTGAATATTATATGACTCCGAATGAGGACTACATTTCCATAAGTAAAAATAAAAAGATAAATATTCCCATCATTTGAATTTTACACCAAAAAGGAGTGTTTCTGAATGATACATGATAAGTGCCGGTCATTATTTTCATATTTTCAATGATAATCATTAACTGCATTCCTTTTTACTAAAACATTGTGTAATATTTGATAAAGTATTTGTTGTAAATATTGTAAGTCCAACGTTGAATTCTAAGTAATATTTATTCTTTTTATTTATTTCTCATCTAAAAGGGTTAAAAACTTTCATCGAATTTTACGTTTACGAGATTTTCAATCAAAGAAAGATATTCGTAATTGTTTTAGGGTCTATTTAACCCCAGGATACGCTTAAAATCGACGCTAAGCCGATAGTCATCTTATTTTTTCTCAAATTTCAACTATTTCTCATGGATTTACACGTTTTAACGCGTATGCGTGAAATTTCGCATAAAATGAAGGAAAATTGGTAACTTTAATTCTCTGGCTTATAATGCCGAGTCACGTTTTAGATCGACAACTAAATTTAAATAAATGAATAAACAAAAATCCTACAGAGAATTGCTGAAATAGGTAAGAAAACTTTCGAAAAATTCAAATTCTCTCTGTTCAAAGTTAAATCGCGATCTGGCAATCTTCCCTTCGCTTCCTGTTCCGCAGCAACAAAGTATAATCACTAAATATGGAAATGAATTGCGTCACTATGATCGCGAATACGATAACACGGTTTGTTTTCGAGCCTAAAAGAATTTCGTTGACGTTTTAGAAGGAAGAAGGTGATCGCGAAGGGTTTGTCGCGCGTCGCGACGAAGAGCGACATGTCCGACGGAGAGCGATCCCGAATCGGAGTTCAGTTGACACTCGCGAGTGACGCGCCGTCGGCTCCTGCCAGCAATACCCTTACGTTCGACACAGGTTTTCTCGTACCAGCTTATTTACTCTAACTCGATCGGAATTATATTCGTTTTTATGTAACCCACGAATCGGATAAGATAACGGAACACAGGAGCCACTTTAATGGAATCGAGTGACGATCGTTTGTTTACGGAACTCTGACATAAAGAGCACACTTGAAACTTCACAAGCCCTAACGTCCTTCCGAGTAGCATCGGTTCACTTGCCAACGAACGATTCACAGTTAGCTCTCTGATCGATCATTTTCCGCACGTATCGAGATCGAACGCGCGTCCCTAGAAATCGATTTCACTCTCGATTCAGGCGGAGTGGAGCGGCAGCATTCCGGGAAACGAACGGTACAAAGAACGATCTGTTTCTCTAGCCTATCCGTAAGTTAAAGCTTTTGCACTTGATAATAATCACTTACGGGTCTCGTTCAAGTTTCCCACGGCATTGAGCAGCAGAGGTGGCTGCTGGACAAGATCCTCCTCGAGGTGGGCACGGCTTGGTCGGGCTTGCTTTCTCCGTGACATGCCTTATTGCCTGTTGATTCCCTGTGCTTACGGCGATCTTCCGGATCGGCTGCGGTTCCCGCGGGCGAAATACTGGCTCAAACGGGCGGACACGTCATCGGGCCGCGCATCGGCGTGGACCGGATCGGTTCCGCGCTCGGTAACTCCGCTCGCTGGTTAACCGATTCACTGATGTACTTCACCATCGACACTTGTCAGGGAGCCGCACCTCCCCGCGCCCGTTAATCCACTTCCTGAACGATCGCATGCGGAAAAGAAACGCGGCTCAACTCGGCCAGTAGTAACACACTCGATCCATCCCGCGCACTTCTTTCGAGTTTCTCCAAACGGCACGTGGCCCCTACACGGCTCGTTTTCTGTTCCACACTGTATTCTTCGTCTCACACACTGAACTTTTTTTTCCGTTTTTTTTTCTTTTTCCTTTTTTTTTCTTACTTCGGACCACCGAGCGATGCACAAATGCACACACACCCACGCACCCACCGATAGTGTGAGCACGTGTGCTGTTGAACGACTCTCAGACTCTTTCTCTCTCTCTCTATCTCTCTCGCTCGCTCTATCTGTTCGTCTGCTGTCCACGCGGGACACCGCGTGCGTGCGTGCGAGGTCCTCGATGACTGGCTGGCTGCGTGCTTACGTACGTGTGCGAGAACCGTGTATGTGTGTTTATGCTTCTATATCTCGCGCAAAATCCGCGGCTCTGGTGCCTCGAGTCGGCCGGACGACGGACGGACCAGCTCTGGGCCTGACGTCGAGGCGCCCCTCTCCTGCGCTCACCGTCATCACACGAGTGGGGAGAGCGGAGGGGAGATAGCTGCGCGCGCACACGATCTATCCCCCACAACGCGGTATCCCCGCTACGATCGCACTCCTTCCCCACCCGATCGACTACCAGTACCAGAACCGTCCTCGTCAGGGGTGGGATCAAGTTCAATGTGTACTCATGAATCTGAATCAATTCGATAAGTACAGTTGGCCGAAAAAAAGTATTCCTATACCCGTGAAGCGTTCGACTTCCGCTGCTATTCGAGCTCGCCTCTCTCCGATGCTAAATTAATCGCTCTACGCCTGCCTCACGTGGGAATTCGATGCGCCTCCTCAGCCTGTTATGACCTGTTCATTACGAAAGTTATCCAACGGTAAGAAAGTAGATAATTAACACCTTCACAGCTGTCTTTATTTGTCCCTATTCTTCGCGATTTTAATCGCCAACATTGCGTGTCTAATGTCTATAGAATACTTTTTATTTAATCTCAACTATTAAACAACGATTAAGAAACCTTCATACGTAGAGTATTTACTTAAAAAACGATATCTTTTTAAACAAAGTTCAACGCTCATTCTAATGTTTCAATTCTTCTTGGATTCAAAGTTCTGAGAATTTTCAGTACTCATCGAATGATCGTATTCTGCTTAATTGTCGATTAATTTTAATGGAAAATATCAAATGATTAACATCGCTCTAGGCGTAGTTGATGGAGATGATGAACGCGTTCATTATCCATCTGGGTGATTCAGTGTGCGCGTGCGAGACGCGGCTGATCCTTCGGAAAATCTCGCTTTTCCGTGTGACAGCCTCGGATGATTTTCTGCTTCAGTTTCGCTAGTGTTTCTCAGTCTCCCCACTTTCGGTCTCGGTTGCTTCCCCTTCCGGCTCGCGCGATCTCCCACCAGACATCCGGTTGCGCGGGGCGTGGCTTCAGTTAGACTGCGCTCCGCCTCCTTATGCATTATTATAGCGAGCCACTCGTGTCTCTCTATGATTTTATATGCCGTCTGAATATTCTATCCGCTTCCCGAGGGCGCTCGCGCGCGCCTGTGTACGCGAGTGCGCATACCATTGTATTCCTGGTGGTAGCGCTAACGCGGTTTTTATAGCAACACTCGTTGAAACGCTGCGCTCGGAGAGTTTCAAGAGCGGAGCCGGGCTTTACGCGATCCGCTTTTCCTTCGGTATTATCGGATACGAACGCGAAGCTATTGAAACGTCAGCGTTCTTCTGCTGTCTTTTTAGTGTTACGAGGAAGGGTAGGCGCGGATGCTGGCCGATTTCCCGCCCCTCCCCCCCATCACCCCCGTTCCAAACATGTTGATCACATTGCCAGAGAAAGGTGTTCCTTGACTGCTTTCTTTCAATTAGGTATACTCGTTGCGTCGTAGACAGATTCTATAAGGAAATTCAAGGAATATCGGCATTTAGAAAACTTTTTAAAGTAGATCAACTAGGAACTATACGACAAATAATTGCGATATAATTTTAAGCACGATACGGAACTTCTCTTTCATCCCTGGCGAACATTTCAGCGAGTCGTTAAAGGGTTAAAGGACCGCAGAAAATCCGCTGCAGCAGGTGGCGGGTTGGTGGGTGGGGTGCTAACGCCCGACAAAGGGGTGCAGGCCTAGCAAATCGACGTTGTTTAGATTGCGCTGCATTCAATTAGGCAGTTAGATAAAGAATGTTGCTCTCTTCTTTGTCTATTTTTCATCTTTCTTTTTCGAAAGATGGCCCTTTTGAATCGTTTCAGAAAAACTTTTAACCGTTTCTTTTTCTTTCGAAGATCGTACCGTGCAATTTTACTTCATCAAATATGCCATAAATTAAGAAACTTTTCATCTCAATGTAGAATTAGCAAACCCTTCGTACATAATTCCTCTGTTTGAGAAACAAACAGCAAATATTATTTGTTGCAAGGAGTTTAGGAGGATGAGGTTGCGCTGTAAGGGCTGAATGATTGTTTGAGGAAGAAGCGTGAAACAGGTATACGGGGAGGGTGAAAATTCAGCACCGCAGGTGTCAAAAGCTGGCGCCGGCGCCTCTCCCGACGCCCGACACCCTTTTTCTCCAGTTTTACCTGCGCGTTACGGGTCAACCGATCGTTGCGCAAAAATTACGCTCCGTAAACGGATTCCAGACAAAAGGAAAGCCTCGAGGCTCGAGTGTTAATGCTGTGACGGTGTTTCCGGCAGGGGTGTGTGTTTGCTGTTCGTTTAGCGTGCGACTGAATTTCGTGTTTCACGATACGCATGCAAATACAGGCTCAGGCATTTTCCCCTACGAGACTCGAGTAAAAGAGGGATCGATGCTTTCGTCAACAAATTATTGTTAAAGTTATTATATCTGCTGACGTATTTGGATTTGAAAGAAAGGTAATATTTCACTTTTCTTTTGGCTGCATTATTCTTCATTTTCCTAAGGATACTTAGAACCCAAATTAGACGCTATTGTTCCATTGTCCAAAGTATGAAAATTTTGAAAAGCTGAAAGGCAATCTTTTGAACAAAGGTAGAACAAACGCGTTTAGTAAAAATTACAAAAATTTTTAGCACCTGACCCCTGCACTTTCTTACCTTACACCCAGAACCATCCCTCCTTACCCTTGGAAGCATCGATACTCCTACGATCCACCTGTTCTCCCCCTCCGGTATCGCATGATAGAGTATAACCGGCCGCTTCAAAGCGGAACAGCCGGGTAAAAGGAAGCCAAGACCGGGACCCTCGAAGATTAAAGCACACTGACACCTTAAAGGCGAGGTCAGAATAGGCGACTAGTGCTTGGAAGGGAGAAGTCGGCTAGGTTTTTTTTCAACTAAGGGTTCAAGTGAGATCTTTTGTCGGATTTAAGGAAATTCACCGCCAAATCTGTGAAACGAGTCGTTCAAATTGTGTAAAAAATAGAGTAGCTCAATTCGAAAAACTGAAGAAAAAAATATGAAAATTGGCAGATCAATGGCAATGCTAAAGACAAAGTATTGTTTCTTTAAAAACGAAATAAATTACCTTTCTTCCCCTATTCTATCTGTTTCGAGGACAATCAGGTCGACCAGTCGGGTCCTCTAACACAATCGAAACCACAAAGAGCACTAAATTTTAAGTTAAATTCTCTCTTATTCTTCGCTTTGCTACAGTAGATACTTTTTCATTGAACAAAAAGCAAATATATTATTATGTTAGCAGTTAAATTCACAATTTCACTTAGCTACAAAAATAATAATTTTCTTATTAAATTTAAACATCTTAATTCGGTAGAAGGGGTAAAGTTTAAAGAAAAGGCAAAACTAGAGAACGTACCGTTCTCGGTAGAAAGCGAAGAATAAATTACTCGCGTTGGTCCGAAGAGACCCCTCTGGTGGGCAGCCCGGCGTACAATCGGGGCCCGGTAGCAAGGAACGTCAAAGATCGCGACGCCGATGGGGTTACAACAGGTCGAAGTCTCACGGCCGGTCCTCGAATTCCGAATTGGTAGAAAGATTGTACGGTGGCCGGTTGGATGCAGGAGGTAGAAGAATCGGGGTTTATGGTGACCGGTACCGGCAAAAGAATAGATATGACGTATTCATGAGGATGGCGCGGGTTTGTCAGGCAGATGGCGCAGCGATAGCGGCGCGTCGCGTCGCGTCGAGAGAGGAACCTCCCCGTAAGAAAAACACGAAATAGTTTTGGCTCGCTCGAGGCGAGACCAGACCTGTTTTCTATCACCTTTCTTTCGGACGCCCTCTCACAGCCCCATTCTCCCTCACTCTCTCTCTCTTTCTATCGCAATAAAATCCGATTTGACGTCAATTTATCTACGGATATTTCAGCGACCGTGGCGGCCCCTCTTTTCTTCTCCTTCTTCTTCTTTTTCTTCTTCGAAGCGAGCGTTGCGCATGAATTTCGCTTGCAACCGGCTCCTTCAACAGGGCCCCTTTCTTTTTGTCGGGGACTTGCGTCGCTAATAAGATCGTGCAGTTACCGATCTGGATCGTTAGAGGATCGAGATATTGAGAATCGGATTTATTGGCGGGTCAACGGATTTCTTTCTTCGTTACGGCAACTCGCCTCGTTTTTCATGGAAGAATATTATTTCTCGAATGTCTGTCAATTTTTTGACTGTCGGTCAAGATTCGGTGATAAACTGGCACTTGCAATTTGATGACAATTAATAGAGGAACATGGATAAATCCATGTGTTCTTTCAATAGGATAGTCGATGATCCGACAGGTATCAATATTAATAGCCGTGTCATGGGACTAGTGGCATTACTAGTCGCTGTTTTGCTGGATATGACGAGTACGACCGGCCTGGTTCCACCGGTCTCCCCATATATGTTACGCGGTAACCTCCATATACATATACGAGTACAGGTGTAAAGGTGGATACAACTGTCCTCGTGGACATCTCGCATGCTGACGGGATCAAAAGCCTGTACACCGAACAAATACGGTCGTAAAGCAGAGAATTCCCTGTATGAAGGACTTTGTCTTCCACTAACCGAAGTTGGATGATCCGACGATCATTGGCGGAAACAGTGGTAACAAAAACCAATCAATTCTATCCAGCTTACTGAATTTCAAACCACTTTATTGCGATTCATAGTAAATAGGCGGTAAAATAAAAATTTGAAGATCATTACTGGTAATCAGATATTTTTCTAATAGGTTCACCATCGTGGCGAACTGGTAAGATTAGAAAAGGATCGAGAGAAACCGGCTGCTCGTGATGGAATGACAAAGTGAAATGAAAATGCGACGTTTGACTGCTTCTTGTCGTGTTTCTTCTTCTTCTCGTCTTTCCTTCCCTTCCCTTCTTCTTTGCCCTTTTTCGGTTACAATACTTTTTTCTCCGTTGCGGCTGCATCCAAAAGCAACCAACTTTCCTCTTTCGGAGATGAAACTGTCTCGGTTATTATATTTTTATTACGTGTCGGTTGATTCAAAAATCAATGACAAAGTATTTTTGCTATATTAGAAATTGAAATGCCTTGGTTTTC